GAGGAAGAGGAGGAGGGGGAAGAGGAGGAGCAGGAGGAGGAGGAGGAGGAATGAGGAATGAGAAATGCGAGGGAGGAGGAGGAGAAGGAGGAGTAGGAGGAGCATGAGGAGGAGGAGTTGGAGAAGGAGCATCAGCAGGAGGAGGATGAGGAGGAAGAGGATGAGGAGGAGGAGTGAGGAATGAGAAATGAGAGCGAGGAGGAGGAGAAGGAGGAAGAGGAGGAGGAGGAGGAGGAGGAGGAGGAGGAGGAGGAGGAGGAGGAGGAGGAAGAGTCACGGTCCACGGCTCGATCTGTGCTCCTGGCCCAGCGGGCCCGGCTTCGAGGGCACCTCCCCCGCGAGGTCCCCGGCCCTCCCCCCTGGGGCCTCGAAGGGTTCGGTGCACAGGAACGTGGGCAGATCGCCGTGGGTAGTGCGTAGATCCGTTCGGCGGCGAGCGAGGGGGGGAATTGAGGAGGAGGAGGAGGAGGAGGTCTTCTCAGAGAAGGCGGCGGGGCTTCTCAGAAACCCTCACGCCTCCTGAGAGGTTTTCTGTGTCTTCGGGGAAGGCTCAGGGAATTTCTCAGATGGCCGTGGGGCTTCCGAGCCTTCTAAGAAGGCCCGCCCCGTCTCATTTCCATGGTTCGCCGCCGAAATTAGTTGCTCCGTGCAGTGGCAAGGTTCCTCTTGGCCGTTGCGATCACAAGGACCTGTGCCGTCATGGAGCACCCAAAGCTGCCGTGGAGAGTGGGGGCGCCATGGTCGTGGCGGCTCCCAGAGTCGGCTTGGTCGACTAGGCTCGACGGTGTGAGTGTTACGTGTATTGTTGATTGCATGCTCGAAAGCAGGTTTTCGAAGCCGACGAAGCTGCTCGGGATCCACGTCCCCTCCATATCCCGGCTGGTTCGATGCTGGCAAGGGGCGAGAAGGTGCCAACAGCTCGGTGGCCGTCCGCAGATGCCATCTATACACCACCACCGTGCCCGGTGCAGACCATTCTGTCCTCGCCCAGGATGGCCCTGGCCAGGAAGGGTGGTGGTGTATAGATGCCTTCGGCGCAGGGCATTTGGCGGCCGTGGGGAGGGACGGAGGGGGAGCGTATCGGGCAGCAACTCTCAAGGCATGCGCTTCCGAGCTGTGGCGTTTCCTGGCCGCCGTGTCTCTGGAGGTCTGTCTTCGCCTGGCGCCCAAGACGGGTTGCCAGGCGTAGTGGTCCTCGGAGGCAGCTGCAGGGTTTTGCGTGCCTCTGGATCCGTATGTGGAGTTCCTCGGGGGGGGGGGGGCTGTGACGTCCGAAGCTGGCGAGAAACCCCCTCTTGTGCATCGGGCTCTCCTTGTCGTGCTTCAGACTCAGCATCTTTCAGCAGTGTCGCAGCAGGGTGTCGATGGAGGAGGAGGAGGCGGAGGCGGAGGAGGAGGAGGAGGAGAAGGAGGAGGATGAGGAGGAAGAGGAGGAGTAGGGCGAGGAGGGGGGAACGAAGAGGAGGAGGAGGAGGAGGAGGAGGAGGAGGAGGAGGAGGAGGAGGAGGAGGAGGAGGAGGTGGAGGATATGGTGAACAAGGAGGGGTGATGGCCCCGTTCTTGGGTCGCTCCTGTGCAGAGTTTGTGTCTTGCTTCTCTGGCGGACACCCCTGGGCCCGCTGGGCCGGTGAATGTTTTGCGCCACGGTGTCCCATTCTGCCCGCTGGCATTCACGTTTGTTGTCGTGAGGCTTGCGTGTCGTTGGCTTGAGAGGCCTGCATTGTTCTGCTGGCGCTCCTGAGCCCCAGGATGAGAGGCGAGGAAGTGGAGGGAGGGGCAGAGGGGTGGGACGGCAGGTGCAGAGGGTGCGAAAGAGGACGAAGAGGGCGAGAGGCACATGCGAGGGAGGAGGTCGGGAGGAGTGTCGGCAGCGGCTGCTGCCGGCAGAAGCAGCAACACTGAGCACCAGAGACACCCCTTCCCCCACCAGGATCTGCGGCTCGTCATACACCGCGGCGGCGCCGGCGGCGGCGGCGCCGCTAGCAGAGGTGAAGGAGGTGCCACCTCGTCGTCCGCGCAACTACCCAGACTGCCGAGAGATGATGATGATGCTGCTGATGATGATGATGAGGAGGAGGAGGAGGAGGAGGAGGAGGAGGAGGATGGAGGAGAAGATGAAGATGAAAGTAATGCTGCTGATGCTGATGCTGATGTTGATTATGATGATGATGCTGATGCTGAGGCTGATGCTGATGATGATGATGATGATGATGATGATGATGATGATGATGATGATGATGATGATGATGATGATAGTGCTGATGCTGCTGCTGATGATGATACTGCTGGTGCTGCTGCTGATAATGATGAGGGTGATGATGATGATGATGATGTGGATGGTGAGGATGATACTGATGATGGCCGTGATGCTGACGTCGATGATGATGACGATGATGATGATGCTGGTGATGCCGATGACGACGATGATGATGGTGATGATGACGACGATGATGATGATGATGATGATGATGATGATGATGATGATGATGATGCTACTCATCATACTGATGCTGCTGCTGATGATGTTGACGATACTGCTGATGTTGATGATGCTGTTGCTGAGGATGATGAGGACGCTGATGCTGATACTACTAATGATGCTGACGATGACGATGATGATGATGATGCGGATGCTGATGCTGATGTTGCTGATGATGATGCGTATCGTGGTGGTGGTGTCGTTGATGATGATGATGACGATCATGATGATGCTGATGCTGAGGATGATGAGACTGACGATGGCGATACTGCTGATGATGCTGATGATGATGCTGATGATGATTATGCGGATGATTAAACCGATGAGAAAGGTATTGAGGATGTTGGTGATGATTTTGATGATGATGATGATGATGATGGTGATGATGATGCTGGCCATGATCATGACTCCGATGACGATGCTGATCATGATGCTGATGACGATGCTGATGTCAATGACGATGATGATGATGATGACGACGATGCTGATGTCAATGATGATAAGGTCGATGACGATGACGATGCTGCTGATGACGGCGATGATGATGGTCATGATGGTGCTCACCATGCTGCTGATGATGATCCCGATGATGATGATGACGGTGCTGCTGATGACAATGATGATAATGATGATGATGCTGATGGTAGTGCTGATGCTCATCCTGCTGATGATGATGCTTCTGCTGAGGATGTTGAGGATGCTTATGCTCATGCTAATGATGATCACGGTGATGCTGATGCTGCTGCTGATGCTGTTTGTGATGATGTTTATCGTGGTGGTGATGTTGGTAATTCCGATGACGACGATGATGACGTTGATGATGTTGATGCTGAGGATGTTGAGGTTGATGGTGGCGATAATGCTGATGATGCTGCTGATGATGCTGCTGGTGATGATGCTGATGCTGAGGCTGATGATGATGATGATGTCGGTGAGAATCATGCGGATGATTATGACGATGGGGACGGTATTGGTGATGATGATGACGATGATGGTGATGATGATCATACTGCTGATGCTGATGGTGCTGATGCTGATGCTGATGCTGCTGCTGACGCTTATGCTCTTGATGATGGTGATGCTGTTGGCTGCTGCTGCTGCTGATGATGATGATGCTGATGATGATGATGCTGATGCTGCTGCTGATGATGCTGATGATGATGATGCTGACGATGCTGATGAGTATGGTGCTGATGCTGCTGATGATTGACATGGTGATGGTGATTGTGATGGAGATGGTGAGGGTGATGGTGGTGGTGAGGATTTTGCTTCTGCTGCTGATCATGATGACGGCGATGATGGCGATGCTGATGATGATGCTGTTGCTGATGATGATGATGATGGTGCTGATGCTTCTGATGACCATGTTGATGGTGACGGCGATGCTGGAGATGGAGACGGTGATGGTGATGGTGGTAATTATGATGATGACGACGGTAAAGATGCGATGTATGATCTTTATGATGCGGATGACGACGACGAGGACGATGATGCTGGTGATGTTGATGGGACGGTGGCGATGAGGATGCGCATCATCACCATTATGATGTTGATCATGATGAGGATTGATGGTGATGCTGATGATGGGATTGTCGTGATGATAATGTTTATCATGATTATGCTGATGATTCTGGTGATGGTGATGATGGTGATGACGTGGATGATGCGGATAATGATGATGATGCTGAGGATGATGCTGATGATGCTGATGCTGATGATGCTGATTCCTGTTAGAGTTACTGGTATGAGCATCGGTATAGTTCTTAGGCTATTCGTATTATTGTATTGCTTATACAGTGGTTTCTTGTATTACTATGCTTATGGTGCTGACGCTAACGCTGCTGATTATGATGATGATGATGATGATGATGATGATGATGATGATGATGATGATGATGATGAGGAGGAGGAGGAGGAGGAGGAGGAGGAGGAGGAGGATAATGAGGAATATGGGGCTGAGGATGAGGATCATGCGTCTCACCATTCTTTTCTCTCTTTGTATGCAGTCTTATTGTTGCTGTCTATCGAAGACGCCTACGGCGAATCACCGCCGCCCCCTGCCTTTGTGGAATCGCCTATGTGGCCGAACGTTGAGACCAGACCTGCCAAGCGATCGGACCACGTGTTCTCCGAATCGGTTTGGAAAGCCTTCGGGGAACACGTGGGCATTTTGAAGGTCATATTGGCCGTCTGGAGGCCATTTTGACCCCTTCGGGCCTTCTTGGAGGACGCCTTGGAGGGCTCTTGGGCCGTCTTGGAGGCCATCTTGAGCGTCTTGGAGGCTTCTTGGGCCGTCTTGGGGCCTCTTTGGGCCGTGTCTTGGGCCTCTTGGGCGATCTTTGGGGGCATTTGGGCCGTCTCGGGCCGTCGGAAGGCAGACACATAGCAAATGCCACAATCCTTCAAACACCCATAGGACATCAATGATTGTGGCCTTTTCGGGCCTTCCTGGAGGCCCTCTTGGAGGCCTCTTGGGCCGTCTTGGGCCATCTTAGGGCCATGTTCGGCCGTCTTGGTGGGCTCCTGGTCCGTCTGACGCCGTCGGAAGCGCGTTTGGGGCCTCTATGGGCCGACCTGGGGCCTCTTGGAATGCTCCCGGGCCGTCTTGGAGCCATCGGCGTCTTCTTAAGGCCTCCTGGGCCGTCTTGGGGGCCATCTTGGGCCGTTCTGGGGCCATCTTGGAGGCCTCTTGGGCGATCTTTCGGCGATCTTTGGGGCTCTTGGGCCGTCTCGGGCCGTCGGAAGGCCGAACAGAAGGAAATGTCAAAATCCGTCGAACACCTGTGAACAAATCAATGTTTTTGGCCTCTTCTGGCCTTCCTGGGGGCCATCTTGGAGACCTCTTGGGCCGTCTTGGGCCAGCTTCGAGCCAACTTCGGCCGTCTTGGTGGGCCCCTGGCACGTCTGACGCCGTCGGGAGCCGTCTTGGGGGCCTTTCTGGGCCAACGGGGGACCCTCTTGGGGCGCTTCGGGGCCCTCTTGGAGGCCAACTAGGACGTCTTCGAGGCCATCTTGGGCGTGTTGGAGGCCTCTTGGGCCGTCTTGGGGCCCTCTTAGGGGCCGTCTTGGAGGCCACTTGGGCCGTAATGGGGCCCTCTTGGGGACCTCTTGGGCGATCTTGGGGGCCTCTTGGGCCGTCTTGAGCCGTCGGAGTGCGGAGAAGAAGCAAATTCCAAAATCTTTCAAAAACCTAAAGAAAATCAATGATTCTGTCCTCTTCGGGCCCTCGTGGAGGACCTCTTGGAGGCCTCTTGGGCCGTTTTGGAGGACTCTGGGGGGCCTCTTGGGCCGTCTTGGGCAGTCTTGGACTCATCTTAGGCCGTCTTGTATGTATGAATCTTGACTCGGCTGGGAGGCATCTTGGAGCCATCTTCGCCGTCTTGGAGGCCATCTTGGCCGTCTTGGAGGCATCTTGGCCGTCTTGGAGGCTATCTTGGGGCCGTCTGGGACAGGAAAACCGTTTGCAACCACCTCTTCCGGGTGGCCGGCGGGACGGGCCGAATCCCCAGGGGGAGTTCTTCCGGAAAAAGAACCAACACCAAAAGCCATCTCGTTCGGCACGCCAGGCACCCCTTTGATACATCAAAAGGGGGCGGCGGATCGAAGACGCCTACGGCGAATCACCGCCGCCCCCTGCCTTTGTGGAAGCGCCTATGTGGCCGAACGTTGAGGCCAGACCTGCCAAGACATCGGACAATGTGTTCCCCGAATCGGTTTGGAAAGCCTTCGGGGAACACGTGGGCATCTTGAAGGTCATCTTGGCCGTCTTGGAGGCCTCTTGGGCGATCTTTCGGCGATCTTTGGGGGCTCTTGGGCCGTCTCGGGCCGTCGGAAGGCCGAAAAGAAGGAAATGTCAAAATCCGTCGAAAACCTTTGGAACATCAATGTTTTTGGCCTCTTCTGGCCTTCCTGGAGGCCCTCTTGGGGGCCTCTTGGGCCCTTTTGGGCCAGCTTCGAGCCAACTTCGGCATCTTGGTGGGTTCCTGGCACGTCTGACGCCGTCGAGAGCCGTCTTGGGGGCCTTTCTGGGCCAACGGGGGACCCTCTTGGGGCGCTTCGGGGCCCTCTTGGAGGCCATCTTGGGCGTCTTGGAGGCCATCTTGGGCGTGTTGGAGGCCTCTTGGGCCGTCTTGGGGCCCTCTTAGGGGCCATCTTGGATGCCACTTGGGCCGTCATGGGGCCCTCTTGGGGGCCTCTTGGGCGATCTTGGGGGCCTCTCGGGCCTCGTGGGGGCCTTTTGGGGGCCTCTTGGGGCCTCTTGGGGGCCTCTTGGGGGCTTCTTAAGGCCTCTTGGGGGCCTCTTCCGTAGCCATTTTGGCTCAAGATGACCAACACGCGGGGCATTCGCCCTGGTGGTCAAAGGGATACCGCTAATCCGCGGCAGGCAGATCAGTTTACCGTTCGGCAGTCGGGCGCACGATGGCGGCATGGGGCTGGCCGCGCTCGAACAACGGTTACTGGTCCTGCAGCTGTGGCGTGGCGGACAACTACGTTACGCGCAAGAAGTGTCGGGGGTGTGGGGCCCAGGCACAACGCAAAGCATCGACGTACAAGGACGTCAAAGGACCGACGTACAAGGACGTGCTGTTGGGCCCGTCGAAGCGAGAGGTTGCGCTCCAGAAGCAGGTGGACATCATGCGGGCGCAGCTTCAGGACCTCAAGAAGCAGCAGCACGCCACCCACGAGGATGAAGACGACGAGAAGCCAGTTGACCTGGACAAGCTCTTCAGGTGGGCGCAGTCGTGCAGATCCGAGTGGGGAGACCAGTCCACTGAGTACCAGCAGGCGCATGAGCGCTACATGCGGGCCAAGGACGCCAAGCAGAGCACGAAGCCGCACTCGGTCCAGCTCACCAAGGCACGGGCCGCCAGGGAGAAGCTCGAGAAGGAAGAGGCGGCCATCCATGGCGAGGTCAAGCGGCATCAGAAGGCGATGCAGGATGCGCAGGAGAAGCTCGCCAAGAAAAGGGAGCAGCTCGAGGTCGCCAAGGCCAAGGAGTCGGAGCTCAAGGTGCAGGACGTCTCCATCAAGGGCAAAGGCTTCCTCACGGCGATGCAGAAGCAGTGCGAATGGGCCGTCGAAGGAAGCGGCATCAGCAAAGAGGAGTACGAGCACGTGTTCGCAGCACTCGCCAGGGTGCTGGACAACTTTAGGGAGGAGCCCAAGGAAAACAAGGACGGCATGGACACTGAAGAGGCTGGTGATGCTCCTGCTGGTGGCAGCAGCGGGGGCACAGGCGCAGCCAGGAGTGGACAAGCAGGACGCGAGCAGGGACCTCAGCTGTCGCCAGAAGAACAAGAGGCGCTACGCGCAGGTGGGGTGCCTGAGGGTGCCAGCGAAGCACAGCGAAAGAGGTGGCTCGAGGTGTGCGCCAGCCTCGCGGAGCACAATAAGCGGGCAAAGCACTCCTAGCAGGCATCGCCAGAACAAGTTCGAGAGCATCACTCTGTGGACGTTTAATGGCTCGGGGTGGGGTACCCTCAAAGAGAGGATCGAGAACGCAGAAGGGGGCCTGCTGCAGTGCTACGCAGTGCAAGAGCATCGCCTCACGGGCGACAAGATCGCGGTCGTGTCGCAGAGCATGAAGGCGAAGGTGTGCCAGTTCGGCGGGGTCGAAGCGAACCCGACGATAGGCCCAGGTGGAGAAGCAGGCACCTCGGCGGGCGTGGCGGTCGTGGTGCCCAGGTGCACCGGCATGGCGTACATGCTCGGCAAGGAGAAGTGGGACTTGTCACCGCGGAACAACCCAGGGAGGGCTGCAGCGGCATGGCTATCGGTCGGCAAGGGTATCATCTACGCGACGGTCTACCTGTGGACGGCAGAGGGGATGTCGTTCAGGAACACGGAGATCATCAACAAGGTGATATGCCAGTTGGAAGCGCTCGGCGCGCCGTGGATAATCGGGGGCGGTTTCCAAGTGGCGCCTGAGAAGATGACGGAGGTGGAGAACGTCAAGATGGCCAAGGCGCGGGTAGTCGCGTCAGGGGCCAGCTGTGGTACGTGCAGACATGCGTACGGCGTGAGCGAGATCGACTACTTCATCGTGGCGGACAGCCTCGTCAACCAGGTGATGTATGTCAGAGTGCAGGAGGAGTGGCCGTCGGCGCCCCACAAGCCAGTGGGGTTAACACTCAGGCTGAAGGCGCAGGAGCGAATGGTCAGGGCATTGGAGAAGCCAAAGAAGCTGCCAGAGCTGGGCATCGGATGCACCCCAGCGCCGCCGCAGTATCGAGAGATCGCGTGCTTCAGGGCGCAGGAGGTGGCCAACCAGGAATGGGGGCAGTACATGCAGACGTTGGAGCAGGAGGCCTTCGCAGCACGAGGGCTCGAATGGGCACCCGACCACCCTGCAGCAGGGCGAGCCGAGGGGCCGACATGGAGGATCAAGCCGCTCAGTTTCGGCGGTGCCAATGCGCCGCCAGCCGCCAGGGAAGCAGTTTGGTGGAGGTGGCTCGCGAGAACGCTACAGAGCTTGCAAGGGGCATACGCGAGGCTCAAGGCGGCGAGAAATGGCGACATTCAGAGGCGCCGACAGGAGGAGGCAATCGCGCAGGAGCACCAGTTCATCATCGCGCATCGGAGGACCAAGCACCTCAATGCAAAGGAGCAGGGGAGGTGGCAGGCCAGGTGCGGACTGCTGGCTGCTGGGCTACCCCGAGGAGCGCAGCAGGAAGCAAAGTTGCAGCAATGGATGCAGGAGAGCCAGGGCGAAATGACGGAGTACGACCAGAAGCTACTCAAGGAGAGGCGAGCACGCTGGGCAGACAGGTTGCAGGAGGCGGCAGCAGGAGCAGCGGGTGGTCTACACAAGTTGAGCAAGGCTGCATCAGTATGGAGACCGCGTAGGGCAGGCTCCATGGACTCGGCGGATCCCATCGAGGCAGCTGAGTACACCCTCAAGGAGTGGAAAGTGGTCTGGAGGGTCGGCGAGCAGATCCAGAAGGTGGAGCGGCCGTGGGAGCGCGAAGAGCGTGACAAGCTCGAGCCCTTCACAGACCAAGACGTCGACAAGCTTAAGGAGGTAGCGCGCACCTTCAGGAAAAAGACGGGGGTCGGAATCGACAGGTGGCACCCTTCTATGCTGCAGGGTGCGTCGGGCGAGGCATACGTCAAGCTGTTGGACTTCTACATGGAGGTGGAGCGGACGCTGCGCTGGCCCATCCACATGGGCACTGTGCTATTCTTCACGATTCCGAAGACCTACACCACGGACAGGGTCATCGGGCTTCTGCCCACCACCATCAGAGTGTGGGAGATTATGCGAGAGCCGTACATGGTCGAGTGGGCCAAGAAGAACTATCGGAGCTGAGGTTGCACGAGCTACGGTAAGGCGGCGGAGGGCGCGGCCTGGGAGGTGTTGCTCAGCCACGAGATGGGCGATGTCGAGGAGCAGAGCGAGGAGACGCAGGCGACGGTTACGGCCGTTCTGGACTTGGTAAAGGCTTTTGAGAAGGTCAGCTTGCACGTGTTGTGGGAAGCGGGAAAGCAGCTCAAGTTCAACACAGGGGTGCTGGCGGTGGTGTGCTCATACTTCGCCATGACCAGGCGCCTCATCGTAGGGGACCCAGTGTCCAGTGAGACAGAGACGGTCACCACCATCATCGCGGGTAGCAAGTTCCCGGTATGTTTCCTGAAGATGGTCATACAGTCCACGGTGGATGGCCTGGTGGTCGAAAGACCGAGGGCGCGCTGGAGGATGTACGTGGGCGACCTGTGCGTACGGCTGCGACAGCAGCGTGGGCACATAGTCACGGAGTTCGGAGAGACGATTGACAGCTGCTTCCGAGGATTCGAGGGGCTAGGCCTGAAGTTCTCCGTGGGCAGCAAGGGCAGAGGTGCAGTGATGGCGGGCGCCAAGTGGGCGCGAAGGGCCGTGACAGGGCCGATGCAGGAGCGAGGTTTGCCAGTGGTGAAGGCATGCCCATACTTGGGGGTCGACATCGTCGCGCACGGCACGGCGGTGAAGACCAAGAGCGGCAAAAGGCACGCTGTCATGAAGGTCAGGAGTCGCAGGCTGCTCGCTCTAAAGGGCGGGCGAAAAATGACCAAGGGTGTTGGCTTGGTATACAAGTGTGGCCTGAAGCGCTCGGTTATGTATGGATGCAAGTGCTTGGGCATGCCAGACCACCAGCTCCGACAGCTACGGCGAGAGGCAGGGAGATTACTACCAGGGGGGCGCGGAGCCCGCAGCCCCACCTTGCAGCTGGCAGTGGCGCAGGAGGAGCCTACATACGAGGTCACAGAGGCGCCCATAGTGAGGTGGGCGCGGGCAGTACGGCATGGCGTACATGACGAGGATGAAGGAGGTCAATGGGGCAACATAGCCACCATGTTGCAGCAGGCATGGAGGCGGCAGCAGCAGGAGGTCGGCATGAAGCCTGCTTGGGCCCGAGTGCGAGGTCCAGCAGGGGCAGTCATCATGTGAATAAGGAGGGCTACGTGGACATGGCCTGCGTGGCACACTTTCGTCTCAAAGGAGGGTTACGCGTTGAACATGCAGGAGGTGTGCCCCATGGACATCGCGGTGATGGTGCGCAAGGACGTGCAGGCAACCCTCTGGGAGGAATGGACGCAGGCGGAGGAGTTCAAGAGCCTGAGCCCAATAACGTTGTTGGCGCCAGCAGTCGCGCAGCTACGTGCACGTGATTTCCCGAAGCACGCGAGGAATGCGGCGAAGAAGGTATTCGTCGGAGGTGCGTGGGCTATGGAGAAGCTGTGCAGGCGCAACATCGTACCCACGGACACTTGCTTGGCCTGTGGAGAGGCGGTGGGCACCGAGCATCATCGGCACTACAAGTGCCATGCGCTCAGGAGCCAGAGGTTGCATGCGCAGGCTGACTGGCAGCGCGTGGCGGAGCAGCAGGACACCAACATGCTGTGGACGCGCGGGCTGGTGAGGTCGCCAGAGGCGGACTGGAAGTTCGTGGGAATCGAGGAGGACCAGTACTACGAACAAGTGGTCGACGGTGAGGAGGACTACTTCACAGGCGACATCGTTTGCGACGGCTCGAAGCTCGGATACAGCGACTGGGCGCAGACGGGCTGGGCAGCGATGTCCCTCAACGACAACGGCACCGCGAAGATGCAGATGTGGGGTCCGCTGCCGTGCTCGCTACCGATCCACAGGAGGGTTAAGAGAGCCGAGCTGTGGGCCTTCCTCAAGGTGCTGGGGCGAATGCTGCCGCCGGGACAAGTCTACACGGACCACAAAGGCATCGTGGAGGGCTTGCAGAGAGGAGAGCGGTGGTGCACGAGCTGGAAGCGCCCACGCGCAGACCTGTGGCGAAGGATCTGGCATAAGGTGAAGGACCTGGGCCTGGACATTCATTGCGTGAAGCACGTAAAGGCCCACAGGTCCAAGAGCAGGATCGGGCAGCTCGAGGGTGAGGACCTGGAGATTGCGAAGGGCAACAGCGAGGTGGACCTGCTGGCAAAGGTGGGCGCGGAGATGGACGCACACTACGGCAAGCACCAAGCGCTGGAGGACCTTGCAGGGCGAGTACGTTGGGCGCTGCAGAACATTGGTTGGTGGTACCAAAAGATGGGCGGTACGTGGCCAGACGCGCCGCCCACAGAGAAAGGTGTGCCGAGACGAAGAGTGCCGAAGCCGATGCTGACCCTGACCGAGCACGACGTTGTGGAGACGGGAGGTTGGCAGGTGTGCATACGGTGTGGCCTTCGCGCGGCGTCCAAGCGGATGCGCCTGAAGATGTGGCAAGCGGAATGCGTGCGACCACGCTGGCAGGCAACAGGCGCGCGCAGTGCGGGGACAGGCAGCTCGCTGGAGGCCAGCGTGGCCATCGCAGCGGAGGCCGCAGCTGCAGCAGCACCAGCAGCAGCACGGCCTGGAGAACAACGCGAAGAACATGCTGTGCCTGAGGTGCAGGGCAGGCCGCATCGTGTTGAAGTCCATGGCCCGTACGTGGTGTGCGTGGTGTGCGGTGCTCACTCGGCAAGGCGTCGGGCGGGTCTCGGGGCTGCCTGCCCAGGCCCGCTGGCGCCCCGTGGGCGGTCCACCAAGGATGACGCGAAGAGGAAGAAGCGGGACAGGATTCTGGCGGGTAAGAACCCGCAGAATGGCAAGCCGATGGAGCAGGGCGCCGTCCTGCCAGCTCGGCGAGGGGCTTGAGGAGCAGCTCCAGAAACTGCAGAGGGGGGCGTTCGACTATGTGAGCATGGTGAACGTGAAGTCAGAGCTGGAGGGCAACCAGCTGGACCAGGCCAATCAGGCCTGAGGCTGGCCGCAGTCTGCGGCGGACGAGCCCTGTGGCGGGATCCGCTGGGGGCTTGGGGGATAAAAAAAAAAGCCTCTTGGGGGCCTCTTGGGGGCCTCTCGGGGCCGAGGGCTCGACGTATTCGCTCGTGTTCCCCGCCTGCGCCCTCTCCCGGGGGCCTTTTGGGCCGTCTTGAGGGCCTCTTGGGCCGTCTTGGGGCCCTCTGCCGCGGTCCTGCGGCCCTCTTGGAGGCCTCTAAGGCCGTCTTGGGGCGATCTTGGGGGCCTCTGAAGCCGTCTTGGAGCGTCGGGAAGCCGAAAAGTCGATAACGCCCAAACCATCCCTCAAACATCTAGCGAAAATCAATGAATTGTGCCTCTTGGGGCCCTCTTAGGACGCCTCTTGGAGCTCTATTAGGGCGTCTCGACGAGGCTTCTTGAGCCGTCTTGGGCCCATCGTGGCCGTCCTGGAGCGACCGTTCGGCGATCGTGGGCCCTCTTGAGGACCTCTTGAAGCCCCCTCTGCACGTCTAGAGGCCTTCGTGGCTGCAAACAAGTCACGCGCCACCACGCGACGGGCCCCAGGTGCCACGCGACGAGCCCCAAGAGATTTGGCAATTTTGGGTCTGGGCTCTTGAAAGAGTCCTCAGGATTGAGGACTGAGGTTCCAGGGGATCCACCTGAGGACAATCACTCTAATCGCACGGTGACAGATTTTGTAACGTATTTACGAGTATCTAAAGTAAGCCTAAATGTTATGGTCCAGTGCCCAATTGTTGCTACTGGTTCTCATTGTGTTGCCATCATCTGCCATTGTTATATAATGTTGTGTTCTATCCCTGTAAGGTAGTCGTTGTCATTCGCTAGTTGCTCTCTAACATGTACGTATCGGCAAGCTGTCTCTCCTGCTTAACATTATTTTACGGCTGTCTGATGCATTCCTGAATGCATCTCATTCACTTTGGGTCTATGTGGGGGGGATCCGTTGTCCCCTCCAGCGAACTTGCTCCGAAGCACCGGTCAGTGTCGCTCGCTCGGGGGAGGATCTTGCAGCCAACCTCGAGGGGAGAGCAAGGCGGAGCATGCCGGGGGCTGGCTTCTTTCGGCCATGCGTGCGGTGCGCGGCTTTCTGCGGGCCCAGTTGCGGGGGGGGACAAGACTTCAGTCGGGCATGTCCCTCTACAGGGGGAACGTTCAAACATAAGAATAGTCTGGGGACGATGTTTCTGCTATGTTTGATGATTTGTTTGAGCACATTTTACATTTTGTTTATTTTTCGTCCAGAATCCTCCTGCTCCTCCTGCTCCTGCTCCTCCTCCTCCTCCTCCTCCTCCTCCTCCTCCTCCTCCTCCTCCTCCTCCTCCTCCTCCTCCTCCTCCCTCCTCCTCCTCCTCCTCCTCCTCCTCCTCCTCCTCCTCCCCTCCTCCCACCTCCTCCCCTCCTCCTCCTCCTCCTCCACTCCGCCCACTCCTCCCCCTCCTCCTCCTCCTCCTCCTGTCCTCCTCCTCCTCCGCTTCTCCTCCCCCCCTCCCCCTCCTCCTCCTCTCCCCCCCCCCCCCCCCCCCTCCCCCCCCCCTCCCCGCTCTCCTCCTCCTCCTCCTCCTCCCCTCCCCACCTTCCCCCTCCTCCTCCTCCTCCTCCTCCCTCCTCCTCCTCCTCCTCCTCCTCCTCCTCCTCCTCCCCCCCTCCTCTCCTCCTTCCTCCTCCTCCCCTCCCCCCCTCCTCCTCCTCCTCATCCTCCTCCTCCTCCTCCTCCTCCTCCTCCCCTCCTCCCCTCCTCCTCCTCCTCCTCTCCTCCTCCTCCTCCTCCTCCTCCTCCTCCTCCTCCTCCTCCTCCTCCTCCTCCTCCTCCTCCTGCTTAAAGGCAAGACCCAAGGCACGCAGGCCGCTGCTGCCGCGTCGGACTCAGCGGCTGTTTGTGGCTCCCTCGCGGCACCCGGGTGGCCTGGGCAGCCGCGCCGTGGCCCATCGCCGCTTGGAGCGTTCCGGTGGGCCGCCATGCCTCTCGCAGGGGGGGACACCTCCTCCTCCTCCTCCTCCTCCTCCCCCTCTCCTCCTGCTCTGCTCCCTCCTCCCCTCGTCTCCTCCTCTCCTCTCCTGCTCTCTCCTCCTCCTCCTCCTCCTCTCCTCCTCCCTCCTCCTCTCGTCCTCCTCCTTCCTCCTCCTCCTCCTCCACCTCCTTCTCCTCCCCTCCTCCTCTCCTCCCCTCCCTCCTCCTCCTCCTCCCTCCTCCTTCTTTCTCCTCCTCCTCCTCCTCCTCCTCCTCCTCCTTCACCTCCTTCCTCCTCCTCTCCTCCTCCTCCCTCCTCCTCCTCCTCCTCCTCCTCCTCCTCCTCCTCCTCCTCCCCCTCCTCCCCCTCCCCTTCTGCTCCTCCTGCTCCCCTCCTCCTCATCCTCCCCCTCCTCCTCCTCCTCCTCCTCCTCCTGCTCCTCCCCTCCTCGTCCTCCTCCTCCTCTGCCTTTCTCCTCCCCCTCCTCCTCCTCCTCCTCCCCCCCCCCCTCTCCCTCCTCCTCCTCCTCCTCCTCTCTCCTCCTCCTCCTCCTCCTCCTCCTCCTCCTTCTCCTCCTCCTCCTCCGCCTCCTCCTGCTCCTCCTGCTCCTCCTTCTCCTCCGTTCTCCTTCGTATTCCTGCGTATTACTCCACACGTCCCCCGTCGTCTTCGTAATCGTCGTCCTCTCACTCTCGCCCGTTCTCTGTTGGTCCTTCTCTGTGTGCGTGTTGTATATAGTGAGATGTGTTGTTTGTTATCTCTCTCTCTCTCTTTATATGTTTCTTTTTTGTATATTGTCCCAATCGCCGGATGCAATTAGCATAACCATGCACTTTCGGAAGTCTGCTCGGATTTCTTTTCTCTGCGCTGGAACACCTGGCGGTGCCTCTGGCGACGCGCGCCATGGAGTGGTATCCAGCGCCAGTTCAAAAAATCCGCGCGGAGCTTCGAAAGTTATGTATGCAACTTTGTGTTCTTCTATTCCTCTCTCTTCCTTTCTTTGCTTGTTTGTCTGTCTGTTCCTCTGTCTGCTTCTCCTCGGACTTCGGCGGACATGTGCTCCCCGTAACTGGTGGTCTGAACGCGCGCGCTGCACGGAAACGACTGTCCGCCCGCCCGTCCGTCTGCTTGTGCGTCTTTCGGGGGGCCAGTCGAGACAGCGGCGGACCTCCCCAAGCGTTGTTTGCCCTCTTTGGGCCTCGCCTTCTCGTCGCCGTGGTTGGCTCCACCTCGGGAAAAGCAGGCCGGAATCGCCCCCTGGAGCGGTCTCGGGGCAGATCCTGAGTGGATTCGAGCCAGGCGGGAGGGCCGCCGCCGTCCCAAATGGTCTTCCGAGTGTGTCTCTCTCTCCTTCTCTCTCTCAGACCCTCGCTCGTGTGCCCTCTCGCCTGCTCTTGATCTGCCCTCGCCTCCCCATGCCTCTCTCTCTCTCTCTCTCGGCTGCCTCTGTCGCCCTCTGTGTGCCGCTCTTCCCGCCCCTCCTTCCCCTCCCTCTACAATTACTCAATATGAATACTACTCTCCCTCTTCCCCTGATGGCGTGCTGGGAGTAGCCAACCCCCCCCGCGTCCTGCTTTTTTGCACACAGGATTCCCGGGAGTTGGGTTTTCGCCCGCATTTTTTTTCAAAATGCTGCTCTCGCTGAGGCGCCGGCCTCATTTTCGGGCCCCGCTCGTTCCGAATCGTGCTCCCGCTGCAGCGCTGGCCTCATTTCCGTGCTTCCGCTCGTTCCGAATCGTGCTCCCGCTGCAGCGCTGGCCTCATTTCTGCGCTTCCGCCTGTTTCGACTCGTGCTCCCGCTGCAGCGCTGGCGTCATTTCCCGTGCCATGCCACAGCACACGCGCACACACGCACACACACCACCACCACCACCACCACCACCACCACCACCACCACCACCACCACCACCACCACCACCACCACCACCACCACCACCACCACCACCACCACCACCACCACCACCACCACCACCACCACCACCACCACCACCACCACGCACACACGCACGCACGCACGCACGCACGCGCACCACCACCCACTACGCACGCGCGCGCGGAGCCACAGGTCCGCTACGACACGCGTCCGCGGATAGAGAAAATCAGCGGCATGGTAAGGGATGGGAGGGAGGGGTAGGACGTCAGATATGACGCGAGCGCACCTAGCTTGTCCCCCCCCCCTCTCTCGCCCCCCCCTGTCTTGCCCTTCTCCTGCTCTCCCTGTCATGCCAATCAGGCTGTCTTGCCGGTGGAGGGGGGCAAAAAGGAGAAGAAGAAGAAGTCCCAATCGTTGCTCGCTTGCCACGTGAATAGAGAAGGAAGGGTGACGACGCATGGTGTAACGGAGGCGAGGCCAACGGAATCACGAGGGAGGACAGGGACTTGTGCAGTGAGAACATTGGAGCGCGAGACTCAACCGTGTACCGTCTGTGCCTATTTGAGGCGCAGCTTTAGAGGAGGGAGTCCGAATGAAGAGCCATCTGTTCTCACTCTGCGATAGTCCTCCTACCAGGGCATGGCAACAGTGCCAGGTTGCCACTGTCGACGCTGTATCCAGGCTATTCTTGCACCCATGCCAGCAGAGTTCCATTGCAGGGTCTAGCTGAGAAAGGCCACCAGGCTACCCTTGCATCCATGCTTGCGCTGTGCAGGATCTGGCCGAGATAGGCTACGCTTGCATCCATGCCTCAAACTTCCACTCGCAAATGTTGGCGTGCTGACTGTGCCCATGGAGTGCGCCAGTCGTAGGAACTGGCAGCGGGCGAAGATTCTCATTGTGAATTGGCCTCCAGTATTCCTGTCTCTGGCCGCCTCTTGTGTTGGTTCAATCGATGTGTGCAAGCAAAGATGGTTTCCTGTGAGGAGAGCGCCCTGTTTGTACAGATCTGACCCTCTCAGGCCTGCTATCTTTTAGTGGCCAGTGCCCCTCCTCTTCCCTCCTCCTTCATCTACGCTCATTCCTTCTTGTTGCTATGTCTGTCTCTCAGTCGCCATCATATATTTGTTATTCTGTGTTCTTCTCTCGCTCTCTCTGTCTTTCAACCACCTCCGGGCCTTCATCTTCGTCAAAGGTCGTCGAAGAAGGTCAAGACCAGCAAGAAGAAGAGCAAGGGCTGCTGCTGAGCGCCCGTATGTCATCCAGGGCAATGAGGGGCAGGAGCAAGGGGACGAGGACGAGGATTAGCAGGATGGGGTGAAGAATGTGAAGAAGGGGAATGCTCGGACGTTGTTTGTGTGTTTGTATGCCAGTGTAGTTGTGTTGTTGCGCACTCCCACAACTGGAGTCGCCGCCTCGAGCCGCACGGACGCTTGTGTGTGTGAGGGGAGTGTGAGATTTCCAGGGCGTTCCAAGGGTTCTGGTGGGGGTGTGGTGTTATGTGGTGGTGGTGGTGGCGGCAGGAAGAAGGTGAGGACGACTGGAGGAAGGACGCGGATCAGGATGAAGAGCAGGATGAGGGGGACGAGACGGAGGAGGAACATGAGGAGGACCAGTGTAACCTCAAGACTCATCAACGATGCTGCAATACATCCTCCTTCCAAGTTCCCTCTTCTTAGGTGCCTACCTGATTTTTATCAGTGTGGAAAGTGTTCCAGTTGAAGTCGTTCGTCTGAGAATCCTGAGTCGTGCCAAAAAATAGCTGGGACTTCAGCGTCGCGAATCAACTGGCAATCCTAAAACGTCTCAGAAGACCATTCCGGGGACTTCAATACCGTGAATCAACGTGATTCTTGCACCCTGACTGTCCTAACTCGTGCCGGAACACCATGCCTGGGACGTCAACCATAAGAGCCCTTAACACCGCTATACATTTTGAAGACGACTGCTCGCGGCGCTGAGGCGAGAGCAAAAAGGGGACCGCCCTCCATCCGGGAAGCTCGTGTAAACTTTTGAGACGAAGGTGCGCGGCGCTAAGGCGAGAACGACACTTTCTGAATCAAAAGGAACCGCCCTCCATCCGTTAAGCTGTTGCAGACTTTTCAAACGAATGTAAGCGGCGCTATGGCGAGAGCCAGATTTTTGAGAACGGCACGCCCACTATACGTGGAGTTGTAGCATGTTTTGAAAACGAATGTGCGCGGATGACGGCGACGATGACGACGACGATGACGATGTAGCCCTCCAGTAGGATGACGACGACGATGACGATGACGATGATGATAATGATGTTGATGATGATGATGATGATGATGCTGATTCTGATGATGGTGCTGATGGTGATGATGCTGATGATGCTGCTGATGATGATGATGCTGATGGGGATGATGCTGCTGATGGTGATGGTGATGATGCTGATATTGATGATAATGACGATGCGAATGACGATTTTGATGATGCTTGTGATGATGAGGATAATGATGCAGATGCTGATGACGATGATGATGGTGATGGTGGTTATTCTGATGATGTCGATGCTGTTGATGCTGATGCCGATGATGAGGCTGATGCTGATGATGATTATTATGATGATGAGTTGGTCATGATCATGATGTTGGTGCTGATGATGGCAATGCTGATGATGCTGATGATGATGCTGATGATAGGGGCTGTGCTGATGATGCTGGTGCTGATGCTGATGTTGTTGATACTTATGATGATGCTGCTGCTGATGCTGATGCTGATGGTGATGATGCTGATGATGATGAGGCTGATGATTATAATGATCATGATGCTGCTGATGATGATGGGGGCTGTGATGATGATGATGCTGATGATGAGGATGATTATTATTATGATGATGATGCTGATGATGATAATGATGATGATGATGATGATGATGATGATGATGATGATGATGATGATGATGATGATGATGGTGATGGTGATGGTGATGGTGATGCTGATGATGCTGCTTCTGATGGCAACGGTGATGCCGACGATGATGCTTATGATGACGATGATGCTGATGGTGATGGTGGTGATGATGGTAATGATGATGCTGATGCTGATGTTGCTGGTGAGAAGGAGTAGGGGTAGGAGTAGGAGTAGGAGTAGGAGTAGGAGTAGGAGTATGAGGAGGAGGAGGAGGAGTAGGAGGAGGAGGAGGAGGAATAATAATAATATGAAGAAGAAGAGAAGAAGAAAAAGAAGAATAATAAGAATAATAAGAAGAAGAAAAATAATAATAAGAAGAAGAAGAAGAAGAAGAAGAAGAAGAAGAAGAAGAAGAAGAAGAAGAAGAATAATAAGAAGAATAAGAAGAAGAATAAGAAGAAGAAGAGGAAGAGGAAGAGGAGCACCAGGAGTATGCAGAGGAGAATGGAGAGGAGAATGGAGAGGAGAATGGAGAGGAGGATGGACAGGATTAGGAGGAGCACGGGCCAGAGGGGGTACTGGCTGGAGAGAAGGAGGCGGGCTGGCTGGAGGGGCGCCGCGAGAGGTGGCGCCCGCCGGCGCCTAATTCGATTATGCCTAACCGGAGAGGTCATGGCCCACCGGCGTGGGCATCTCTCACCATCCCTCGGTTCGGTTGGCGGAGAGGGCAGGGAGAAGACAGGGCTTCAAAGGCTTTGATGGTGGAGGAGGAGGAGAAAGAGGAGGAGGAGGAGGAGGAGGAGCAGGAGGAGGAAGAGGAGGAGGAGGAGGAGGAGGAGGGAGGAGGGAGGAGAGAAGGGGAGGAGGAGGAAGAGGAGGCGGAGGAGGAGGAAGACGAGGAGGAGGAGGCGGAGGACGAGCAGGGCAAGGAGTGCGACGAGGAGGTAAAAGGAAGGAGGGCGAGGAGGAAGAGGACGAGGAGCAGGGGAAGGATGAGAAGGAGCAGGAGTAGCAGGAGAAGGAGGAGGAGGAGGATATCGAGGAGGAGGAGGCGGATGAGGAGAGCGAGGAGGAGGAGGAGGGGGAGGAGTTTGAGGAGCAGGAGCAGGAGGAGGGGGAGAAGGGCGAGGACGAGGAGGAGGATGAGGAGGAGGAGCAGGTGGGAGAGAATTTCGAGGAGGAGGAGGAAGATGAGCAGGAGCATGCAGAAGTAGTAGTAGTAGTAGTAGTCGTCGTCGTCGTCGTCGTCGTCGTCGTCGTCGTCGTCGTCGTCGTCGTCGTCGTCGTCGTCGTCGTAGTCGTAGTCGTAGGAGTAGTCGTAGTCGTAGTCGTAGCGTAGTAGTAGTGGTAGTAGTAGTAGTAGTAGTAGTAGTAGTAGTAGTAGTAGTAGTAGTAGTAGTAGTAGAGTAGTAGTAGTAGTAGTAGTAGTGGTAGTAGTAGTAGTAGTTGTTGTAGTAGTAGTAGTAGTAGTCGTAGTCGTAGTCGTAGTAGTCGTAGTAGTC